ACTTTCACGGCTCTATCAAATTCATTGTAACATATGTGATGAGTCTAACAATGCTTGACTAGAGTTAAAGATCAGAGTCAAGTTAGAGTCCGAGGCAAAATTGAAAAGACCCAAAATATTTTTGACTTGAACCGACCTAAATAATAAATGGATAAAAAATTCTAACCTCAACTTATCCCGCCTTCAACTTAATTATTTGAATCCAACTAGCATTACACATTTCATGTGCTATAATTATTTTGATCAAATTTGAGTTAATTTTGGATTATATTCAGATAAGCTGGTTAGATTTTTATCAATTTAATGTTGGCATGTCAACTTGAATCTGACTCAGAAAAAATATTAAACGACCCAAAAATTAATCAGGTCAACTCAAATCCGAATTTTTCAAGTAGACTTTGAATTGAGTAGAGTCAGTAGACACGTCGAGTCAATTTTTGAAACCTTTAAACTCGACAAGTCGAGTGAGCATAGGCTGGACTCGAGAAAGCTTTCACACGCACAACCCCGTAGAATTTATAACCAACAAACAATTCACAAATCATGAGTTATTGCACAAAATACTCGACAAGTCGAGTGAGCATGGACTGGACTCAAGAAAGCTTTCACGCGCACAACCCCGTAAAATTTATAACCGACAAACAATTCACAAATCATGAGTTATTGCACAAAAAAAAAAAAAAAATCAAGATTCTTATGAATCGGACTAATTAACACCCACACAATCCCTTCTATTCATAATTTGTTTTTAAATCATCCAAAACCCTAAACATTTAAAGGACAAATTCCACTCTTTTAAATCATAAACGAAATAATGCTCGGCAGTTGGGCTTCACAGCACACAATCAGAACATTTCCTAACATCCTAAACTAGTATCCAACTTTCTCTTCCTAAAAAATAACTAGTGTTCTAATAGTCACACAAAACCCTAAATCCGACTGCAAACTAACACCCCGAGGATCAGAATCCACAACCAACTTAAATTCCTGAAGCTCATCAAAGAAGAACTGCTACTGTCATCAACACCAACAAGAAAATGGCAGTCACCAATGGAAGGATCAAGGAAAGTGACCATTCCAAGACCATCAAAATCACAGCTCTTTTCATCCTGCTTCTGGACCTGATAATAACTGTTAAATGCAAAAGAAATGTTTCCCTTATCCCCAATGGCATTGCATAATCCTCCATAGTAGAGAGTCGTGCAATCAGCAACGCTACACGCAAGCTTCATATGGTTTGAAACATCATTCAGGTCCCTGAACGGGTTCGCCACACACCACCTCGAAGGAAGATACTGGACATCTCTCGCATTCTTAAGCACTCCGTGGCCGAGATTCAGGGGGTATTTAACCTGCCCGTCGAATGAGAAAATACCCCAATGGCGTTCGAAGTTCCCGGGAAGAGTGCTCTTCTGCTCCTCATCGAGAAGGCTGAAGAGAAAGACATCTGCCGGTGGGACACCCGGCCGCAGAGGAGTGCCCTTGTTGCTGAAGACATGGTTAACCAGGCCCTGGTTGAAGGCCCTCGCAGCACTTAGATTCGCACTGAAAGCTCCATCGGTTGGCCAGCCTACCTCACCTATCACGATCGGAATCTGCCCATAGCCGATTCGACCGAGAGCGGCAACCAAAGTGTCAAAATTGCCATCGAAGGCATTATAGTATGTATTTTGTCCATCTATAACTGGGTGAGAGGAGCCCTCAAAGAAGGCATAATCTTGGGGAAAATCTGTGCTCTGGTACAGGTTCAGGAAAGGGTAGATGTTGACTAAAAAAGGAGATCCATTGGAATTGAGGAAAGAAACAAGCTGAGTCATAATCTGAGTTAACTCAGGTCGAAATGCGCCTTGTGAAGGGAGGGATGACTCATAGGCATCAGCATTGCAGGGTACAACAAGCTTTATGTAACCTGCTAGATTTGCTTTAGAAAGTGATTGCTGAAGGTTAAGCATTGCAGGAACAACATAGGGTTGGAACTGGCCCTGGTAGCTTGTGAGGAACGGTTCATTACCGACTGCGATATACCTGCATTCATTAAAGGTTAGAATATTATGCATTAGAATTAAGATAAGCATTGATCAATTTACTATACAGCAAATGAGATGGAAAATAAGAAGGATTTGAGAAGCAAAGACTGAGAATTCTACTCAAAATGCATATATACCAGCAAAAATTCAAAATTAAGCCCGGTGAAATACATTTTAAGGGAAGTGATTACCAACATCAATAGTGTTACCCTAACCATTTGGGGGTTCGCTTTAAGAGTTTTCCTCCAATTATTGGTTCTGAAGGTTACATGAGATGTTAATCCTATTTAGTAACAAGTATTTCTACACAAATTTTAGTGCATGTTAGCTTTGGCCTACCTTTTTTTTATTATAATTTCATATCAAACACGAACACAATTTCACTGCACAAGCTCAAACCATCTAGGCTTATTTTTCATTATACATAAAGCGCCCACCATTGCCCCTATAATCAAATTATTCTGCACTCTATCCTTGCTAAAATTAAAATTATTAATCATACATTCTCATTTATTATTAAAAGGTGTGAACGATTTAGATATCTT